TTTCCCATCTTTACCGGACAGGCTGTCAGCGCCTGCGCTCGAGCTCGATCCTCGGCCGTGATTGTCGGAGCTCATTCAAAGACGGGTTCGCGAGAGTCGCCGTCAAACTTGAAGAAGAATGCCCCATGCTTTGCCAAGCTCTTGGCGCCCTTAGTAATTGTGGTATGCGACACCCCGGTCGCCGCTGCGGCTTTACGTGCGGTCGCATACGTCTGTCTAGAGCTCCCATCTGCAGCAATTGCCACGATAGGCCTTCCCGGGGGCGCCATCGTGCGACTAAATCTTGCCGATACGGAGACCCCTGAGCTTCCTTATGTGTGCACGCATGTTCGTATATAGACTCAATTGCTTGATTATCATACGATTTCCATACGCGGGTCCCCGAAGTTCCGGTCCGAGCGCCCATTATCCGCCGTTTCTTGGGTCGGATCATTGGCGACGGATGCCGGTCCGACCGGGTGCACACAGCCGCGAAAGGACCAACGTGGGCCGCATTGCCGCCATAAGGGGTCCTGATTTGGTTGTCAAAATGTCCTGAATGAGCGGGTGTTTGTCGACCATGCTTACGGAAACACGGCGCTTCTCCGATGAGCTGAAGTGTTGGCCATCAGTAATGTGAGGCAGGAGAAGCAATTGGCATACTCTGAGAAGAAGTTAATGACGTGAAGATTGAGGAGTCCCGATAAGGGAACGGAGTAAATCTGAGCACGTAGAACCGTTATGAGAGGTTCGATACTTGTACATGCAGAGGAATTCGAGAGCTTGACTACTTTTGCCTTGGCAATCATGTCCTCAGACCTCAGACCTCAGACCTCATGTCCTTAGACCCTTCTTGATTAATACCGTGCCGACCACCCTGGCGTGATGCCGTGCTGACCATTGGAAGGCGCGGACGAATGGTGAAGCTTATTCTCAATGGAGAGTCTTAGCTGACAGGCCAATGCAGATGACAGTCAATTCGATCTACTGGCGAGAGTATGACATTGTCACAGTCAACATCTCAGGCCCACGCATCGGCATTCTGGATGGCTGGTTCTCGTGGCCCATCCAGCAACACATCCGTCCTCGCATGTTTGCTACGAAAGGCATGATGTGGCCAGTGAGAGTCCTATATCTCAACCATCGTTTCTTGACACATCGTTTCTTTGCAGCAGCCTTGCCGCGACCAGGCTTTGAGTGGCAGGAACACATCATTGAAAATAAGACGTTGCGGCTGCATGTGTGCCGCATTCAAAGGAGTTGGCGGAAAATGATGGCAGCGCGCAATGCCGCAGCGACGTTGATCCAACGGGCGTTCCGCATATGCATATCCGACCCCAACCACCCGTTGTGCAGAGCCCGCTTGTTACGTGAATGCGAGTGTATGTCCCAAGAGTTGAGATCCCACAGCTATGGGTAGCGTGCCTCGATCTCCTGGATGAAATTGATGTGCGCCTCAGTCTCCATGTGCCTGGTGCCCATATCTTCACCCTCTACCCACGTCTTGCCAGATGACAGCCCCAAGATGGAAGCATTCGGCATGGAAGCGTTGGTCATGGCACGCGTGAAGTACAAACCGTAGCACTGCGCCGCCAGGAAGTAGAAGCGCGTCTCCTTGTTGTTCTTCCGGTCCTCCAGGATCGTTCGCAAGCCGGGCCACGGCGTCGTGCCGCCCGGCGGGGCGACAATGCCATCGTAGAATACCTGGCCAGTCAATGGACCTGCCATCAGACAACTAGAGAGCGTCAGTACTTGAGACCCTTTCAAGTCTGTCGTGCTACAGATCTGCTCGGTTATGAATGGATTGCAGTGTGATAATAATTTACACTACGGGCATCAACAGGGGTGCGATCATGGAGACTAGTTCCTGCAACAATGAGAAACTCAAACCAATGCTGACCACATTGAATGAAATAGAGTGGCCCAACTTCATATGTTTAGACAAGTTGTTGTTGATTGCCCGTGAGCCCATAAGTTCTCCTTGCAGCTTAAACTAGACACGGGAGCCCATCGGGTCCGACCATCTCCTGATTTAGCGGCTGGGGATCAGCGCCTTGTCCGCAGGCGTGTAGGATGCCCGTGAGCCCATAAGTACTCCTTCCAGCTTATTTAGACCCGCCACCATGAGCTCGAGCGGCGTCCAAGCAGCATGGCAAAAGCAAGTTGATGTACCCAGCAGGTCTAGGCTGGAAGCCTACAGTAGACAAAACATGATTGTGCCCACTGCCGTGGCATCTGTACCTTGCGGGCGATGCACTGTCCCGGTGAGCCGGTCGCCGTGAGCGCACATGACGAGGATAATGGCGTCGCTGAGCTCAGACTGAAGCTCCTTAACGAGCTTGTCCCTCAACTGAGAAATATCCGTGCAGATTATCACGTTTGGGCGCTGTTGGGCAAAGCTTTCAAACACCTGATCATGTGTCTGGATCTCCGGTAAGTAGTACATGATCCGCATGTTGCCCTGCACACATAGGATGGAAGTGTTAAGCCATCGTGCAGCTATGTCTAGATCCGCTAGGGCACATCAGTCGGCTTGGACGCGCGCCCAGCACTCAGCGCCAGCAAGCCCACCATCCCACGCCACCAGGCGCTCACACTACTTTCACACCAGCAGTGCCTAACAAATCCAAAGGATTCACCTGTTAGGATGAGCAGGCAGCACACTGAGCCAGGAAGGAGTGCCAACGACTCGGCGCGAGCGCTGCAATGAAAAAGAAGGGCAACTGAGGTTCTAAGCCCTTAAGTACTGACCGGAGTCTTTGGGGTTTAAGGCCAGTGGACGGGGACCGGGTTGCTCTTCCTTAAGTGGTGGTGAGTTTGACGTGGCATTCACCGGGGGGCTGCAACCCTCCACTGGAGGCTGGGGGTCCGGTCATTCACACCCTCAGCCTACCAACTAGAATAATACTCCCCTCTCATTAGTCCACCATTTTACTCCGGTAGGATCTTAGAACAGTACTTAATTACACTGGACATGGACATCGCCCGATCCAGCGATATGAGTGCCAAGCTCTTGGCACCTCTAGCTATCGTAGAATGAGGTATACCGGTCACCTCAGCAGCCTTGCGTGCGGTCGCATACGTCTGTCTAGAGCTCCCATCCGCAGCGATCGCCACGATCGGCCTCCCCGGTGGCGCCATCGCCCTCGACCGGAACTTGCGCACACCGATCCCTGAGCTTCCTTATGTGTGCCCGCATGTTCGTATACATGCTCAAGATGCTTGACTATTGTAAGATTTCCGTAGGAGCTTCGGTCCGAGCGCATATGATACATTGTTCCTTGGGCCGGAACACGATCACGAATCCGCTGGTGCGCGCTGGTTGCATGTAACAAGTGAATGGAGATAGCGTGTGTTGACAATCTGAAACTCTACTCAGGAACGTATTCATACGTGAGGTCCACATCATATGTCTTGCACAACCCTCTTGCTTTCTTCACGTTTTCGTCGTCTTCCTGATCGGAATATAGATGCACACGCTTCCGAAGTGACTTAAACCCTTCTCCGTATCCCAATACTTGTCCAAGCGCATGCAAGTATTTACTACTGTGTTTTATTTCTATCACGTGAGTGCGAGTGACTACGTCCGCTCTCCCGTGTTCGCATGGAACTTCTACCGCACCGCCTTCTATTTTTGCTACTCGATCGCGTACACCAGCCTCTACCCTGCTCGTTGATTCTGGTTTGAGCGTTGCTAGCGCGTTGTTGTAGTCCCCCCGCAAGTTGGGGATCCTCTCCTTGGCTTCCTCGATCCACGTTGTCACGCGAGCCGCAAAAGAAGGACTGATCCACGTTGCTAGGTGTGTGGCAATCGTGGGGTGGACAAATGTCCCTCTGTTTTTCAATGGGCCCGTTTGGATCTTGATGATGAGGAATGGACTTGGCGTCCGAATCAACTTGGACAAAGCCTCAATGAACGCCTTGGTACCATCTAATGAGTAGTAATGCCCCCAGGTCTTCCCCGCTAACTGGCACAAGTTGGTTGCACAAATGTAACCGTCGCTCAAGCGCATCTCTGTGATCATTCTGCCGTCGTCCCCTCTGAGCGCTTCCACGAAGGCGGCAGCTCGCTCCCTTTCGTCGTCGTCGAGCGGCGTGTCGTTTCGAGGTGCCGTCCTCAAGACGCTCAGATCGGGCGCTCTCGGGTCGTCCTCGTACTTCCACACGCGGGCATCTCGAATTCCTAGCTTGGACGCGGCGAGGGCGATGCTCCCTCGAGCTATCCCGGTGGCGTCGACTGCTGCCCTGATGTTCGGGTATCTGGTCGTGGACCCGTCCGCCCGGATGGCCAGGATGGGCCGAGCCGGGGGAGCCATCCTCGAGGTGGTCGGATCTGAGAGTACCCGACTTCCTTATGTGGGGCGCGCTTTGTCCGCTACGGGAGGCGACGACGCGGACCCCTCGGAATAATATGTTCGGTAAAGGATATCAAGGACCGACATGCCTCGCGGAAAGGAGCACCGTAAGCACAAGCATGATATCGAGCACGAGAAGAAGGAAGAGCGAGCGGAGAGGCAGGGGGAGGAGTCCGACGGGCAGGATTTCCCACAGGGCCAGATCGACCGGGAAGAGAAGCCCGCCACCTACACGGCGCTGACCGTGGACCGAAAGGACCTCGAAGAAACACCCCCGGCCGGAGCCGAGGCGGTCGGCGCGGCTTACGACCAACAGGACGGCATCACGAAGGCCGTCGGCATCACGCTGCCTCCAGATGCGTGTCCAGATCAGATACCCGGTGTGCCGAACGTCCCGATCGCGGCTATGGTGGTCGGGGCGGCTCCGCCGAGCGTGCCGGGGGAGAACTCGCCTCTCCCCGATCAGCAACCGGGCGTACCGAATTGCCCCGTCGTCATGACCACAGACGGTGCGGCCACCGCTTCACAGAACGCGGGCAGCACCGCCGTCAATCCGGATGCCGTACACCTCACACAGCTGCCGCGTTGAGCGGCCACGACGAGTCGAAGACGCCGATCCTGAAGAAAACATGCAGTAAGAAGCTCGAGCTTCGACCGAGATGCCCGCTCTTGGGCACGTCGGTCAAATGTCGGCGGTCTATTCTAGGTGTTTTAGGTGCGGGAGCACGAACCTCCCGGGGCCGATCATCTGAAGAGGGGCGCTGGGTTCCACAGGCCTTCGCGCTTCAGCCTCTTCATCTGCTTGACCCCCTGATCGTGCTTCAACTTGCTGATGATCTGCCCGTCGTGCTTGCGCACCATCAGATCCTTTTTGGTCAGCCCAGACCGGGTTTTCGCCTTCTCGCCGTTCCATACCTTTCGCTTGTCGTTGGCCGCGAAATTCCTCCCAGGGTGCTTCGGTTTATCTCCCATCGGAGCGGAGAGGATGATGGATGTTGTATGCTAGAGAAAATAAAGTCGAGAGCTCGATTTCATTTCCGAGATCTTGCGGCGATGTCTCGCAGGGTCCGAAGACCCCCCTCCGGCAGCTTTCGTAGATCGTCTTCCGTCAGGAGGAAGTCGACTTCCGTTCGGCCGCGCTCCTCTCTCAGCGCCTTCAGTGCATTGGATATGAGTCCCTCTTTGCTCACGAAGAGCACCTTGCGGTCCTTCCAGTCCGGAGGAGGGACGTTGTTGCTGGGACAGACCAGGAACACCGGGAGCCCTCGCAGCTCGTCTTCGAGGGTGTCGGGGCCGAAGACGGTGACGTGAGAACCCCCTTGGTCCCGCACGTAGCGCCCGACCGCGGCGTCCAGGTCCCCTCGAGTTCGGTAGACGGCCCCTTGGCGGGCCTTCGTCCTCATGTGCTTGTCCAGGTGCTTTTTAGCCAGTTTTGCTTCGGCGCCTCCCTTGACGGCCTGGAGGACCTTGCGGAGCAGCTCTTCTCTCCCTTCTCTCTCTCGCCGGCTCAATGCATCGACGCGCTGCAGTGCGGAGGCCAGAGCCCCCTGTTGAGCCGCCGACTCCGCATGTCTCCGTTCGAAATCCTCTTTTTCTGCCTGCGTCTTCGCCAGCGTTTCGGTGAGAGTATCGTGGGTTTTCTTCAGGTCCTCGATCTCTGTCTCGCGATTATGAAGCTCATGTCTCAGGGATTCGATGACCCCTGGATCATGCTGAGAACTGGCGTCCTCCTCGCATGCCTTCAGCCGTGCTCGGAGGTCGTTTTGCGACGCTTCGGCCATCTTTCGTTCTGAGGTCGAGTCTCGGAGGAGGGTTGCTATCTCTTTTACTCTCTGCGACAACACGAGTCTCTCTCTTGCCGTCTCATCCTGTGCGTTACGGAGATCCGAACGCATGCTCTCGAGGTTTCTTTGGGCGGATGCCTTTACAGTTTCTCGATCTCGGCGGCATCTTTCGAGTTCGGCGGTAAGGTCTGGAATCCGCTCTTTCGAATCGTCTTCGCGACACGCCCGCACTTCCCTCTCGAGTGCGTGGATCCTACTCTCTGAAGCCCGTAGGTCGTTCGTCTGTTTTCTTAGTAGAGTCTCTTTTTCCGCTAATGATGCTTCTCGTCTTTTCGAATCATCTTCGGCGACCTCGATTTTTACTTGCAACTCCTCTCTTTCCTTCTGACAGTCGGGTAGGGTCTTTCTTTCTCGCAGGAGCTGCGCCACGAGGGTTTCGACCGGCTTCGGCGGGATTTTAGGGATGTGTAGTGCATCGTGCACCTTCTCACTCAGACCCATCGCGTCGGCATGGATGGCTCGAGAGTCTCGACTGAGTTCTACGATCTTCGGTTCCGGTCGGGCAGGGTCGGGCTGCGTCTCGTGTGCGAACAACGTCGATGAAGCGCTTTCGATGTTTCTTGCGGTGAGGTCGATCGTTGCGAGGATTCTCTGCAACGCTTCTGCCCCCGATCTCCCTCTCACGGTGGTCGTCACCACGCGTGCGGGCGTCGATGCCGCGTTTGCGTAGTGAATCATGGCGTCGAGCACGGCTTTCTCGTCTTTGTGATCGGCCAGCAGCTCGCTCACATCTGCCACCTTGTTTTTCGTGGGCTCGATGCAGGAGCTCGGCGACGAGGGTCTGGGCGTGCGTCGCGTCCCGGTCTTCCCCGCACACCAGTCTCACCAGTTCGGGACAGCTCTGTGTGTCGCCCGGTCCGGAGACGCCGTCCGGAAGTTCGAGCACGAGTTGGAGGACCCCGCCCGTTTGCCCGGGTGGGAGACGTCTCCGGCACGCATTCTTGGCGCGGTCGGCTGCGGAGATCAGAAGGTCGATGTGCGTCCGGTCGACGAGCTTCTCGTCCTTCCAGCCTTCGGGGGGCTCGTATAGCTCGTCGCGGAGCCGAATGAGGTTCTCATCATCGGCGCGCACCAGGTCGCGGTTGAGCTCTATCCGGCGTACTAGACCCGTGCATGCTTCTCCGAAGGGAGGTATGCTGGCCGAAGTCTCTTTCGCTAATTGCGTGAGGGCACCGATACCCTCTGCCGAGTACGTGCCGACTGCGGTGAATGTCTTGTTGAGAGCGTTCGCCATCTCCTTGAAAGCTTTCCATCTTGCGCTCTTTTCGATCAAGATGCGGGCCGCGCAGATCCCCGGACGCGTGTTCCCGGCGCACTGCTTGACGTCGTAGCCGTAGTTTGCCGCAGCCAAGAGCAGCAGGCGCATGTCTTCCTTGAGTTCGCCAAACTCCAGCGTGATGGATTCGATACGAGTCGACCCGGTCGCGTCATAAAGGTGCGTGACTCGTTCTGTGGCTCTTTGCAAGGTTTGTTCCGGAGCGCCCCAGCAAAGTCGTCTCACGAGTGCCTGGCACTGTGTGAACGCCTCCTCGAGGCCGGGTGCCCCGATCGTTCCGAATGCGTCCGTGATGCTCGTCGTGCATTTGGATAGGGCAGACGCGGCGCTTCCTACGTCTGACGTCGAATCCAGCTGACTGCATCCGAGACGGATGCCGGACTCGCTGATGTTCTTTCGAATGGCGTCCATCCAGATCCCGAAAGCCTTCAGACGGACCGCGAAGTCTTGGAGGTAGTCCGGAGGGTCCGCGATGATGGCGTTGCACGCGTTCCCATTTGGCGCGCCGGACGTGTCAAATATGATGTTCAATGTGGACATGTCGGGGATCGGATCCATGACGACGTCCTTGGTTTCGCAGATTCCTCTGATCGAAGTCTCGAGGCGCCGTACCGCAGGCGCCGTTTCTAGCGCAAACTCGTTCAAGAGATCCCATTCTGCTCTGACGGGTGCGTCGGGGGCGAAGAGCGAGCACAGCGAATCGGCCTCACCCAAGGACCTGACGTACAGCTGTAGCGCGACCCTCGTCTTCTGAGAGTCGACCAGTTTTCTAAGTCCGGCGAGGTGCTCCGGATCCCGGGTGACGAGCTCCTCCGCCAATCCTCGAAGTGCCGTCATGATCTCGGATTCTCCGTCCAACGTCATGCTTTCGACGTTCCGTGACTCGCGCAATGCCTTTGACGCGTCCTGCAAGAACTCGATGGAAGTCGAATCGGCGATGGACCTGACGAAAGTCCGCGAGTTCATGTACAGTCCGCTGAACCTGGCGAACTCGCCGGCCTGCTCCCGCCCGAATACTCGGGAAACGTCGTCGGTTCTCAGGAATCGGGAGTCGCGTGTGGTGACGTATTGGAAGCTATCTTCGTAGAGTAAGAGAGCATCGTCGCAGGCTGTTTTCACTGCCGTCAGAAACTCGGCGAAGGACTCCGCTTCCGGCCATCGCGGCGGGGGCGTGACGAGAGGGAACTTCGTTCGTGGGTTGCTGTGCTGGAGTAAGAATTCACCTTCTGCCGAGATCCGATATAAGGCCCCTCGATCGGCTTCGTCGGCGTTGGGTGGTCGTTTCTCGAGTTCGACCAGGGCAAAGAGGGGCGTCATGCGATGCGAGAGGAGCGTTATGATCTCTCTTGCAAAGGACCCACTCGTCATACTCTCGATGTGATGATTCACTCCATCAAAGTCGACGTTCATTTCCCCAAGAGCACGGACGGCCTTTGTAGCACAGAAGAGGTCATTCAGGAGTGCATAGAACTTGAATGCCTTTTCGAGAGTTTGAATATCCGCACGTCCGTTCGCCGCGCTCGTTCTCTCTTTTTCCAGTCTGGACAATTGGGATCGGATCAGGTCGAACAGAAAGTCGACGTCCTTCCCGGTCATCGGATTCTGTGCCGCAGACGTCTGTTCGGCAAAGATCCCTACATAATCGCCCGAGAGGTCGGCGCGAGGAGTCGTGCGTATTTCCTTGGCGGTCTCGAGGACTTGCGCGAGTTTCCGACATCGCTCGAAATAGAGTGGGTCATTGCGTGCGAGGTCCACCGCCAGGTTCCGGAACGTGGTGTCGTCGTCAGCGGTCCGATTGACCTTAGGCGGTCTCATCATATTTTCGGTTTCTTTCAGAGCCTCCGCTGCGAGTTCCAGGAACCTGGCTGGTTGGTCTACGACGGCTTTCGCAAAGTCCCTGGGCAGAGAGGATCGATAAACCACCCCTTCGAACGTCCGCGCCGCCCCCTCTCCGAACGTCGCTGTCACTCTCCCCCTGTCCGCTCTTCCAGAGTCGCGTAGAACGTCTAATATGCTGTTCGCATACAAGTCGGGTGCTTCTCCAGAAGCATCCGTGACTCCCCCAAGGAATTCATCGAACTTTCCGTACTCCGGCCAGTCCGGTGTGGCGGAGTGTCGCACGTCAAGATCATCCGCATCATAGGCCAGTAAGAGGCGACTCTCGTCGTGGATACGTCGCAGGGAGCCGGGATCGGAATCCATCGGGCTGTCGTATCTCAGGTCAGCGAAAGCCCGCAGCATCTTCGTTCGACGTATCACCATCCATGCCCGCTCTCGAATAGCTCCACCGGACATACTCTGGACGTTCGCACTCGCCGAAATCAGATCGGGCTTCGGCTCCGTGAGTTCGGTCATGACACCGAAAGCACCGCACAAGTCATCGAGAAACTCGTAGAGTCTTAGAGCTCTTCTGTTTTCGTCCTGCGGTGCGGCCCCGTTCGCCTCCATCTCCCCCTCCGGCCCGACGAGCCCCTCTCGCTGCCGTCTGATCGTCGCCATGATGGATCTCGTAGCGTCCATCGTCATGGGCCGCGGTGTCTCGAGTAGTCCGTCGGCGATGATCCGGATCGGGTCGCACAGGGGGTCCGGTGTGTTCACCAAGTCTCTGAGCCATTCGGCGTCCTCGTCCGTGAGCTGGTCCTTTCCTCCTTCGTCTAGCCACTCCGTCACGAACTTCTTCAGTTCGGCGGGTTCCTTGGAGACGGTGATGATATTCCAAAACTGCCGATACAAGTCGACGATGGCTTTCGTCGAGAGCATCAACTGCCGGACGGGTTCGAAGAGTTGGTCGATGTCGGAGTCCCGGAGTTCGTGCATCTTCTCGTCCATGTATCCTGCGCGACTTCCTGGGCTACGATTCCCGACGGGTGTTTCCACGAGAAGGTTGGCTACGCGCATGACGTCGTCCCAGCATCGAACCATCTCTCGGATGTTCGGCACGATTTCGAGGGATGCGACCAGTTCGGTCATGCTGAAGTCCGGGATCTGGACTCTCTCCGCTTCTTCGATCGCCCGTCTCACCATCGACCCGGGGTTCGAACGGGATTCCTGTAATGCGGCCAACGCACCTTCGGGGTGTTTGTACATCGCCTTGAGTGCCGAGACGACTTTGCCGAGGTCGGATCTCGCCGAGAGGCATTCCGCGAGCTGCGTTTTGTCGTAGCCCGCCGCTTGAGAGTACGTATCCTTGAGGTTTTTCGTCGTCCGCACGAAACTCTCTTCGTGCTCTCTTTTCAGACGCGCTATCTCTCGAGCCTGCTGTTCTCGTAGCTGCCGCATCGCCTTTTCCCCTTTCTCGAGGCTCTCGATCTCCTCGGCGTGCCGCGTTCGTAGCTGAGCGAGCTGCTTCTCCAGCTCAGATTTAGATCGCGCGCAACTCTCCAGAGCCACTTTGTTGGCGGCAGATTCGTCTCGCGACGCTACGAGCCTCGCCTCCGATTCTCGTCCTGCTTGTTTGCAGAAAGCGAGAGAGGCGGCCGCTTCCGCCGATCCTGCTGCGTACGCGCGATGGCACTCTGCGAGTTCTGCTCGTTCCTTTGCGCATGTTTTCTCTACTTCTTCGGCGAACTGTCGTTTTAAGGTTTCAACCGCCTCGTCGTACTCGTCGTGCAGTTTCTTCTGCTGGGTGGGAATATCCTGAGAGTATTGCTGCTGCAGTGTCGACAGTTTCGCCACGGTAGCATCGTGGTCCTTCTTGAGGGATCTGTGTGCTCGCATCCACCCGTCTCTCGACTTCTCTACGTCTTCCTTATCTGCGAGGCACTTCTGAAGGGCCTCCTGGCCGACCACACCGGCCGCACTCGCCGTGCCCTTGCCAGTGTCTTTCGCTTGCCCTGCCTCGCCCCGTAGCGACTCCGCCTTTGCCCGTTCCAGTTCCGCTCGGACTCGCTCCAGATCGAGACGTGTTTTCTCGAGTTTGTCCCGGAGCTCGTTGTGGTCCTTCCGCTCTTTGCTACTCGCGTCGAACAGGCGGAGCGCTACGGCCTTGAGTTGATCCCAAAAGTGCTGACGGTCGCGTTCCGCCAGACGGTCGTGTTGTACTCTGTGGAATCGGTTTGAAGTCAGTAATTCGCTCAATCGAACCGCGACATCCGCCCACGATTCGCCCTGGATTTTCCGCCGCTCGTAGCCTTCTATGGGGTGGGAGACGTGCAATGTGTCCTTCCTGTTCGCCCACTCCGGATGCTCCATGCTCCGTGCTACGATATCGTGGAGATAATGTACCCTGCGCGCCGCGCTCCAGGCATAAGGAAGACGGGGAGGGGTTGTGCGGGGCATCTGGGGTCGGATGGCTTTCGCGTGGCACCTGAGCGGGTCGTCCCCCGTCGCGTGCGGCATCCGGCGCTCGAGCGCGAACAATCGTCGGGTGTACGTCCTGCGCGACGACAGGGCTTTCGTCGGCGTCAGCAGCATCGGGGGCCAGTCCCATCTCTGGGCTTTTGCAAACGGGGACGACGCCCGCAAGACGCTGCGAGAGATCCGCGAGTTCCGGGACGCCGAAGGGCGGTGGCCCACGGTGCGAGAGCTTCCCAGCCGTCTGAGGCCGGGTCAGGGCGGGCAGCCGAGAGAGGACGGCGCCGAGTTCACGCAGGTGTCTCTCCACGACCTCGAGACGGAGGACGTCCCGCTCAAGGTCTTGAAGGATTACGCGCACGCGCGGGGACTGGCCGTCGAGCTGGTGGAGGAGCGCCGCGTGGTGATGATGCGCCCTCGTCCCACATACAAGCAGTACAGACCGTACCTGGAGGCGCTCGTGCGGGAGGATCCGTAGAGGCGCGTCGCGTCATCGCTCTCGTTCCCCTCCTTACGGTAACGGCATCATGAGCACCGGCGGCCCCAGCTCGGGAACGCTGCTGCAGCTGCAGCTCGCCGGCCTCGAGGACCTGCACCTATGGATCGACCCGCAGGTGACGCTCTTCGGCCCGGCCAAGCCCTCGGATCACAGGCCGTTCTCTCAGAACGTCATCGAGTGCCTCTTCGAGAGCCGCCCGCTGCCCACGCTCGGGGCGCCACAGGGGATCGCGTCCGCGTGCCCCCTCCGCAAGTCCGGTTCGCACGTGGGGATGATGCATCTGGAGGTGCGCCTTCCCTCGACGAATCCGGCCACCGGAGCTCCGATCCCATACCGGCCACGTCTGGGGGCGTACCTCGTGGAGTCGGCGAGGCTGACCTCTTCCGGCAGGGAGCTGGAGAGGCTCAGCGGGGCCGCCATGCGCTGGTACTTCGAGACGGTCGACCCGAAGCTCAGGGGCGACGAACGGGCCCGTGCCGCCATGTTCTCGCCGACGGTGCTGGGCGACGACGTCATCGTGCTGGTGCCCCTGCCCTTCTTCTTCTCCCGGAGCGCGGCGGGCGAGAAGCTCCCGGTCCGCGGCAACGACGCCGTGCTGGAGGTGGTCCTGGCTTCCCCTGCCTCGTGCCTCTCTGCCGGGGCCGCGGTTCCCGCTCAGATCGCCCCGCGCTCCACCAAGGTCGTCTTCGAGTCGTACGCCTCCGGCGAGCC